AAGAGAGAGAGGAAGGGAGCAGAGAGGGAAAAATGACTGACAAATCTTCATAGATAACAAGGTGTAGAGCTGGATGAATACAACCGGCCAAGCAGCATCAGAGGAGCAGGAAAAGAGCCTGCTCCTCTGATGCTGCATGGCCTGCTGTGTTCATTCAGCTCTACACCTGGTTATCTCAGATTCTCCAGTATCAGCAGTTCCTACTATCTCTGACAAATCTTCAGTCCTGATGAAGGGTTTTGGCCCAAAACATGGACTTTCCTGCTCCTCAGAAGCTATCGGACCAGCTGTGCTTTTCCAGCTCCACATTTTATTGACAAATCTTCAAAACTGGAGACAGGAGCAGAACTTGAAGATGAGATTTCCTGGTTGAGAAATGCCAGTGAATTAAAGCGAAAAATCACTGCGGATGCTGGAAATTTAAAGTGAAAACAGCAAAGACCAAAAATATTCAGCAACCCAGGCAGCACATCTCTATGAAGAAGGCAAGCATTTGCGTTAACTGTTCCTCCATCCACAGATAGTGGTCCAGCTGCTCAGGCGTGTCCAGCATTTGCTCCTTATGTCTCTCTCTCTCTCTCTCCCCTTCCCCTGACACCATGACTCAAATCCATTGCCCACTGCAGCTGGTTCCAGAGTTTATGCAGCCAGGAACAAGGTAATGGTGAAAAACAGCTGGAGTGAAATGCAAACTACTGCTTCAGCACCAAACATCACTCACTTTCTCCTCCCCCAACATCCCAACCAGCTGCCGCCTCTCCCTTCTCCCTCAGTCTGGTCTGCCACCTGATCATGGCTGATCTGACCGTGGGGTCTATTTTCCTATCCACTGCTCCATACTCTTTTGATTGCCTTGTCTGAATCAAGAATTTATTCCCCCTTAAAAATATTCAATGAATCTGCTTCCAGCATTCTCCGGAAGATTGTGGTCCACAGACTCATGACCTCAGAGAGGAAAAAAAAAAGTGCTTTAATGGGATTAAGTTATGCTACCTAGGTTTAGTTTCCCAAATGTTCTGTGAAGGGTAGATTTACAGTAACCTTAAGGCGATGACAATACACAACAGGGATGTTAACAAACACAAACTCTCTCTCCCCAATGCACAATCACGTTTTCAAAGATAAAGCTCCTGCGCACAGCAAAGCTGATCATTCAAAACCACAGGCCTCGATAAGCATGAATCAATATGTCCCAACGCACCTCCGCAATCTCAGATGGAAGATTTCCAATGTAGACATCCTTCTTCCTGAGCCCTGTGGAAAAAGAACAGTATATAAAGCCTTAAGTTTTAAAAAATTCATACACAAGATGACAGTGTCACTGACTGGGCCAGCATTTATTGTCCATCCCTAACTGAGTTACAACCACATTGCTGTGGTTCTGGAGTTCCATGTAGGCTAGGCCAAGTGAGGACAGAAGACTTCCTTCCCTAAAAGACATTTTCCCCCATAGGAAGTGGTGATGCAGATACAGTCAAATTATTTAAAAGACATTTGGACAAAGTCACAATTAGAAAAGGTTTGGAGGGATATGGGCCAAACGCAGGCAAGTGGGGCTAGTTTAGTTTGGGAATATGGTTGGCGTGGACTAATTGGACTGAAGGGTCTGCTTCCATGCTGTATGACTCCATAACTGGCAGTTTCATGAACACCATGAGACCCTTAATTCCAGATGTTTATTAAATTAACAATTCCACCATCAGCCACAGTGGGATTCAAACCCAAGCCCTTAGAACATTGCCTAGATTAATAGTCAAGTGATAATACAAGGCCATTCCCATACATATTTAAAAAGGGGCAGAACCACAAAAGGTGCCCCCACCCCGCAACATATGCCCATCATGTTCCACATCCATTGAATCTACTAGTACATTAGCCAAATCAGTAGGAAATTCAATCAAGGAATGCATCACTGGCAAGCCGCCCAACAACCCCAAGCGACTTCTGTACACAGCAATCGGTGTTGGAGCAGCAACACAGGCAACGTTCTCCCCTGTTCTACAGCTAAGGGAGACATAGTTGAAACAGTTCAACCTACAGCATTTCCCTTACTTGAATCAGTAAACTCACCACAAACTAAGGATGAAACTGGGAACCTCCCAAGTCCACTGGTTGAATGTAGAAGACCCAACTGTACAATCCACGTCTCCAAATTGGATTGTTTCTTCCATTGGAACAAGGGGACTGTTAGATGTGAGAAAAACCAATGGTCCAGCCCTAATTCCCTTTATTACATCCTGCTAGTCCCATCTGCAAAATCCTGCAAATCCACTGACAGGATTGGCACCCCAATATCATTATCGTCTCTCCAGCCAACATTCCCAGTATTGAGGTACTGATTACAGTCAATCAACTACTTTCTCTGCGAACCTGACATCAGCCCCAGCTCTGAGCTGTGTCTGGGTTCACTTCTCCCAGATTTTAGCAGGGCAGACAAGCATGTATCTGTCTAAAATGTAACTGTAACGCCTCCTGCAGCTGAATAGTTGTGTGGACAGGTTGAGTAATTTAAGAGAGTTCTTTCCAGTGTGTTATTTTTTTGCAGGCCAGGACTTGAGGTAAGAAATACCCAAGTAATGGAGAGCTTTGGGAATCATAGGCCTGAAGTCACTTGATCCTCCCAGGCTTAACGGCACTGATGGTGGCAATGCTACTGGCCTCAACAATTAGAAGTATGAACTGACAATCCAGATGTTCTAATCCAAATACAACATTGTTGGGAATTTAAATATATAATCTATCATGAAACCACAGGATTGGCATGAAAACCCAGCTACTTCTTTAGGAGGGAAATCTGCTGTCCTTTCCCAGCCTGGCCAATGCGTGACTCCAGACTCTCAAAGATGTGGTTGATTCTTAACTGCCCTCTGTAAGGCCTTAGCTGGGACTCTGCTGTAGCAAAACTGCTATGGAATATACTACATGACTGCAGCAGTTCACCTTCTCAAGTGGCCAAAAAAGGGAATTAATGCTGGCCTTGCCTAACCCCAGGAACAATTGTAACAAACTGTTTTCTTTTTAAACTCCACCATACGTCGTACAGTATTTCCAACCATTCATTTATTCTTGCCCCAACATGACAAATTTCTTTGTTCACTGAAAACCCGGGAAGAGAATGTCGGAAGGAAAAAAAATGATAGATGATAGCCCTTCCCATGTACCTTTTGCAGTCTTTGGTTCCAGTCTCCTGTTAGAAGCTCCTTCACTGTGAATCACCCTCCTTGCTGCCTGCTTCTCACAGCTTTCATTTGTTGTCCTGGGACCGATATAGGAACAGTAAAGTCCAATTTTGTTTCAATTCCAGAAGCACATTAATGTCAAATGAGATGGCAGTATTCCAATAATTCAATCGCCTATAACCTGCATTTCTTCAGCATTTTGAGCTAACGGCAGGTCAATTACATGTTGAAGGACCCAGAATAGCCAAGGTTTTTTTGCCAGGGTAGGACAGTCCAAAACTAGAGGGCACAGGTTTAAGGTGAGAGGGGAAAGATTTAAAAGGGACCTAAGGGGCAACATTTTCACACAAAGGATGGTGCATGTATGAGTTGCCAGAGGAAGTGGAGGAGGCTGGTACAATAACATTTAAAAAAGGTACCTGGATGGGTACATGAATCGGAAGGGTTTAGAGGGACATGAGCTAAATGTTGACAAATGGCACTGGATTAATTTAGGATATCTGGTCAGCATGGATTAGTTGGACCTAAGGGTTTGCTTCCATGCTGTACAACTTTATGACAGCCAGGATTCTGGGGAGCGCAATCAGATGATCTATAAGACTGCATTCATGCGAACGGGGTGGGGGGAGATGGTGTGACAACAGTATTGTCACTAGATTAGCAATACAGTAGCCCGGGATAATGCTCTGGGGACATGGGTTCAAATCCCAACATAACTGGATTTCAAGTCAAGATTATCCCACAGTGACACTTCCTGCAGTCTAATAGTCCAACTATGTCATCTGCTTGAACTCCCATTTGAAGGACAGGCAGTGAAGCATGTCACCACAGAAACACATGTAGCTCACATCCCAGAGGTTGTCAGCAACCCAAACAGACTCAAAACACACTGATCTAACATGATGTGGAGGTGCTGCTGGTGGACTGGGGTGGACAAGGTCAGAAATCACACAACATCAGGTCATATTCCTACAGGTTTATTTAAAAACACAAGCTTTCAGAGCCTCTCTCCTTCTTCAGGTATTAGTGAGAGATATAGGATCAGACACAGAATTTATAAGTAAACGATCAAAGGGTCACACCACTGACCAGGATGTATGAAACAAACCCAAGATACTGTGAAATCTTTAATCAGTTATAAGGTTTCAATTAGTTAACTTGTATATGTAAACCCCCGATTTCTTTTCAAGTCACTGACCTGAGAGAACTAAAGGTTTTATCAGTGTAAAGGAGAGGTGATATTTTAGGTCAGACAATGCATGCCTTGTTTAGAGTCTGCTTGTGTTTTGGTTTTGAGTCAGACTGGTTTTGCTTCTAAAGTAGGAATTTCTAAAATGCTGCATTGACTGACTATTATAAATTGTGTGCGCTCTTTGAACAAAATAGAAATTCATCCTATGGACTCACATGTGTGTGTGTGTGTGTGTGTGTGTGTGAGAGAGAGAGACAGAGAGAGAGAGTTTGTGTAATATGCATGTGAGAGAGAGTGTACAGTGTGGAGGAGTCACCTGTAGTGTGATATGAACCCAAGATCCTGGTTGAGGCCGTCTTCACGGGTACCGAACTTGGCTATAAGCCTCTGCTCAGTGACTCTACATTGTCATGTGTCCCAAAGTCCACTTGGAGGACAGTTACCCGTGGATCCGAGACCAAATGTCCTTGACCACTGAAGTGTTCCCCCACTGGGAGGGAACATCACTGTCTGGCGATTGTTGGGTGGTGTCCATTCATCCGTTGTTGTAGCATCTGCACGGTTTCGCCAATATACCACGCCTCAGGGCGTGACTTAAAAGGAATTTGGGGACTTACATATACATATTAATCAATTAAAACCTTCTAACTGATTAAAGATTTAACAGCGTCTCAGATTTGTTTCATACATCCTGGTCAGTGGTATCACCTTTTGATCTTTTACTTATAAATTCTGTGTCTGATACTATCTTTCCCACTAACACCTGAAGAAGAGAGGCTCCCAAAGCTTGTGTTTTCAAATAAACCTGTTGGACTGTAATCTGGCGTTGTGAGATTTCTGAACTGATCTAATAGTTCAGGACACACAATCAGATTAGCCACAATCTTGCTGAATGGTAAAGGAAGCTCAAGAGGCATGGCCGGTAACTATCTCTTCTGTTTGTAAACATTATTAAATCTCCCTTCCTGAGATTATATGTCCATTAGGAAGTAAAATAATGCTGCATGAAACTTACATTTTCATTTTCTCCAGAGGCTTCCTCAGACCTGAAGGAATTCAAGCAGCCAGTTAATTTCAATTCTGAGCAAGATTCCGACAGCTGAAGTTCCACCAACTAAACAACAGCAGAATTAAATGATGCAGCTTTCAACAGACACAGCTTATAATACCCCAGGGCTTGGAAATTGCTGTTGAACTGATATACATGATCCATTGGAGAAGAAGAAATGAGAAGCACATTATGCCACGGATGTAACCCCAGACTGAAGATACAGACTGGAATCTAATCGAGGGGTTCAGTGGGTTTATATATAGGATAACAGATACCTGGGAGTTACAGACTGGAATCTAATTGAGGATTCAAGGGTTTATATATTGAATAACAGATACATGAGGGTGAGTTACAACTGGAATCTAAGATGGGTTCAGGGTGTTTATATATAGGATAACAGATAACTGGGAGTGAGTTACAGGCTGGAATCTAATTGCGGGGTTAGGTTCGCTTTATAGATAGAATAACAGATAGTCAGGAGTGCTTTACAGACTGGAATCTAATCGAGGGGTTCAGGGAGGATTTATATAGATGAACTGGAATTTAGTCAAGAGGTTCAGAGGGTTTCTACGCAAAATAAAAACACACCCTGCAGTGAGTTACAGACTAAAATCTAATCGAAGAGTTCAGATGCGTTATATATAGAATACTCAGGAGTGAGTTAGAGGCTGCAATCTAGTCTCGGAGTTTGCATAGGGGTGTTATATTTAGAAAACATATACCAAGAATCTAATAGAGCTTCATATATAGAATAACAAATACTAGAGGAGAATTACACAATTGAATCTAATCAAGGGATTTGGGAATAGCTTAGAAATAGAGCAACAGATACACAGGAGCAATTCCTAAATGGTTCAGGTGAATTAAATGTGGAATAACATACCCAAGAGTGAGTTACAGACTGGAATCTGATGAAGAGGAATAGCAGAGATTTCTAGAGTGGAAATCCCCAGAACCTGTTGCAACTTCAAAGGGATTAAAGTATAGAAAAACTGATACCCTGAAAGTATGTTAAAAGCCTGGATCTGATGTAGGACCATTCCTGCCAGCCACTAAGTTTCAGTCAGTAGGGTTGGGAGGCAAGAACCAGACAATGCAGAATGCAAACATGTGGCCTATTGTGCCAGTCTAGTTGGCAACAACACCTTCAGCACCACATGAGGCAGGGATTTGTGATACCCACAAACTCCTTCTCATCCTCCCCACTCCCTATAGAATCTTTATAGATGACCCCAGTCCAATAGGTGCATCCTCCCATCTCCCTAACCCAGCACCATTCCTCATAGATGACTCCAGTCCTATTAGGGCAATTACCACCCCCATGCCCTCAAATCCTATCTGAACATTACAAATGATTCCAGCCCCATTGGGGCACCATATCCACTCCTCACCACCCCCCTCATAAATCCTTTTGCTGAGTCCAATCCCATTTGAACACACACACTCCCATCTCCCTAACACTGCTCCTCATCCTTATAGGTGACCTTAGTCCCATAGGTTATGTCTTCTTTACCCGAACCCTCCATCCAATCCTTTTCCTGAATCATTCTGATCAACCTAACTCTCTAGCCAATTCTTATAGGCAACTCCTGTCCCATTGGGGCATCCCTACTCCATCCTAAGCCTCTACCCAATCCTTGTAGGTGACTCCTGTCCCACTGGTGCATCCCTATTCCATCCTAACCCTCTACCCAATCCTTGTAGGTGACTCCTGTCCCATCAGTGAATCCCCAATCCATCCTAAACGTCTACTCAATCCTTATTGGTGACTCTGCCCTGTTCCCTTCCACAGTAGTTGAAGGGGGAAGTCATAGCAAAGGAGGAATAGGGGGAAGACAGACATCAGACACCGGCCTTACCCAGCCGGGATAGGGGAAGATGAGGTGGAGAGAGCCTAGTCGACCTAGAACCGATATCAGCCTCAGCCTCCGGCGCCTCGTGCTCCATCGCCCCACGTGATCCCTCCCACGCAAGCTTCAGACAGCCACAGGAAGTAGGGTCCTCCACCGGATGTCCCCTCCCACTACCGGCTTTCAGCATTGGTGTTTGTTTGTGGCCCGCAGCGGTTGGCGGTTTCGGAGGTCACTACCGCCCCGCACGGCGGCCTTAGCACGAAGGGCGACCGTTACCCGTCAGGGCGGGAAAGCCCGGCGCGTGGCGAGTCTGTCGCCATCTTGTGCCATTGGTGGCCATTTTCGTCGATGGTGGCGGCTGTTGCTCCTCATACCTTCTCAACCTTATTTACTTAAACCTTACCCTTTATTTAAACTTTATTATTATTCTCTCACCGGATCGAAAACGCTAACTCTGCCTTCCCTCCACAGATCTTCTCCGGCAGTTCTTTGATTTATATTATTATTATTCTCCTACTTTGTTTTCTCTGTCTCCCCCTTTTTGCTTTTAGAAACATAGGAACTGGGTAGCGGTTTATAAAATGATGAGTGGCACGGATAGGGTGAATAAACAAGGTCTTTTCCCAAGGATAGGGGAATCCAAAACTAGAGGGCATAGGTTTAAGGTCAGAGGGGAAACGTTTAAAAGGCATCTAAGGGACAACTTTTTCACGCAGAGGGTGGTGTGTGTGTGGGACGAGCTGCCAGAGGAAGTGTTGGAGGCTGGTATAATTACACTATTTAAAAGGCATCTGAATGGGTATATGAATAGGAAGGGTTTAATGTTCTTGAGTAGATTTGTAGCTTGGGTTGTGGATGCTGTGGTTGGTTTGCTTGCTGAGCTGGTTCATTAGTTTGCAGACGTTTTGTTAACCTGCTGGGTAACATCATCAGTGCAGGCTCCGATGAAGTGTTGTTGTATTTTCCCACTTGCTGTTTAAACTCTGGAGTCTGTTGGAGTTGATTACCTCATTTCTGGTTTTTCTTTGCAGTGGTGTGTATATAGGATCTAATTCTACGTGTATATAGGGTCTAATTCTGTGTGTTTATTGATGGCCTTTTTGGTGGAGAACCAGGCCTCCAAGAATTCCCATGCTTGTCTCTGCTTCGTTGTCCTGGTTGGGATTAGAGAGATGTGGGCCAAATGGAGGCAAATGGGACTAGATTAATTTAGGATATCTGGTCGGCGTAGACGAGTTGGACCGAAGGGTCTGTTTCCTTGTTGTACAACTCTGTGACTCTATGAGAGTAGGAGTTTCCTTATTCACCTCTTCCTCCCTCCTTGGTTGGAGAGGTGTGGGCATCACCAGCTAGGCCAGTGTTTGTTGCCTATCCCTTCTTGTTCAGAGGGGTGTTAAGAAAGAGTCAGCCCCCATCGCTGTGGGTCTGGAATCACACAGAGCCAGACTGGGTAGGAAGGCAGATTTCCATCCCAAAAGGGCGTTAGTGAACCAGGTCGGTTTTTACAACCATTAACAGTGATTTCATGGTCATTATTAGAGTCCTGATTCTAGATTTTTATTCGAGTCAAATTCTATCGTCTGACCCGGAGGGGTTTGAACCTTGGTCCTAGAGCATTACCTGTGTCAGTGGATGAATAGTCCAGCAACAATAGCACCAGTCCATTACATCCCCATTAGGCCCTTTGAGCCATGGCCGATCCTCTATCTAAATGCTATGTTCCAGCTTTCTCCCCACGCACAATTAAAATCTTTAAAATGTTCTTTGGTTTCTTAAATATATTCAGTGACTTGGCTTGCGCAGTCTTCTGTGATAGAGAATTCCACAGGTCCATTATCATATGAGTGAAGAGATCTCAGTCCTAAACGGTCCCGCCGTATCCTGAGACATGACCCTTGTTTCTAGACTCCCTAATCGGGGAAAACATCTTCCCCATTTCTCGTCTGCCCGTGTCCTGTTAGAATCCTAGATATGTTTAAACAGCCCGTTCAGAGATATTATTACACATCTCTGAAATGTGTGGGAATTATATCCGGGTCTCCTGGTTCAAAGGTAGGAATGCCATCACTTGTACATTTCAATCAGATCTGTCCTCATCCTTGTAAGCTGTGCTGAGTACAGGCCCAGTCAAACCAATCTGTCCTCACAGGACAGTCCTGCCATCCCCAGAATCCGTTGAGTGAAGTTCCACTGCACTCCATCTATTGCAAGTGTAACCTTACTTGGGTAGGGAGATCAAAACTGCATGCTAAACTCCAGCTGTGATCTCACCGAGGCACTGTAAGACATCCCTACTTCTGAATTCAAATCCTGTTTCAATGAGAGTTAATTTTACTTATTGAATATAAGAAGTAAGAGTAGGATTAGGCCATTTATCCATTAAGTCTGCCCCACCATTCCAAATTGGGTTTGTTTTATCATCGCAGAGACTGTTAGATGAAGCAAACATACTGTCCACCCAATTCCTCAAGTCTGTCCAACATTCCCTCTAAGGAAAAAACAGAAGTTGCTGGAAAAACTCAGCAAGTCTGGCAGCATCTGTGGACAGAACACAGATCCATTCCAAAGAAGAGTCACTGGACCCAAAACATTAGCTCTGATTTCTCCCCACAGATGCTACCGATCTTGCTGAGTTATTTTCAACAATATCTGTTTTTGTTTCTCATTTCCAGCATCCACAGTTGTTCGGTTTTTTTTTTGTTCCCTCTGAGGACCATTGCTGGGAAGTGCCGGGCTCACCAAACAGCACACCAACGTATAGCCTCCACTTTCCGAAAGTTGCTGCTGTGTATGGACCTCAGAGTTCTGCCGTTCAGTAGATCATGACTGATCTGATTGTGACCTTAACCCCACCGTAATTCTGGACTCCCTTTTCAATATATAATCTGTCTAACTCAGTGACAGTTTTGATAGAATGGTTATGGATGAGGGAATATCTCCTCTTGTAGGTAAGAGCATTACCAAGGCTGTCAATACAAAATAGTTACCAATAGATGCAATGAAAAATTAAGAAAGTGTTTCTTTACCCAAGGAGTACTCAGAATGAGGAACTCACTACTACAGGGAATAGTCGAAGCAAGAGAAAACTAGATAAGTATACAAGGGAGAAGGAAATAGGTAGAGAAGCCTCAAGTTGAGCATAAACACCAGCATGGATTGATTGGGCTGAATGGCCTATTTCTATAATATGTACTATATGTAATCCTACGCACCAACAAATGAGCTGCTGGAGCACCTGAGTGGCATGAGCATGTTTTCCTACTCTCTGTATTTTATATTACTTTGTTTTCCTGTTTTCATCTAATCTCTATGATTACAACCACACCAAATGCACTAGAGGCTTTAGCGGCGAGAAAGGGGTGACTCTTCACTGAGGTTTGAGTATCTCTAAAAATATTCCTGTGATAAAAGGGATGAATGTTTCTTTCTGATCTTTGTAATGGAATAGTATCAATAATTCCTGTAATGTGGTTGGTGCTTTCCCTTTTGTGAGAAACTCTTACGTTATTTTGTTTAAAGTACATTGATTGCCTCGTGATTATGCTCAATGACTGGTCTCTTTGCTAAAAAGTAAAGTTAAGTTTATTGTCTATTGTCAGTTTTCACTTTGGGATCTGACTTGTCCAGTATTACCATCAGTGTAGATCATAACAGCATTTCGTTGGCTTCAGGTGAGATCCTGAGGTGATAAAAGGTGCAATAGTTATGCAGATTCTTTCCTCCTTCTGTTCTTTCTCTCTTGCTTCCTTTCGGTCTTTATCTACACCCCAGCCAGAGGGGATAAAGCAGTAATACTTGGGGATAAATATGCCAGTTATACTGAGCTCCATTTTGAGGTATACAAGACAAGTTGGACTAGTAAATATCACTTTCCTTCTGGGCATGTTTTCTCCTCCCCTTCACTGTACACTGCTGCTATTGAGGTCCACCTACAATCCTAGTTGATACAGGTAGAGGATTGAGTCATGGATTTTTTAAAAAAAAATTCAGCCATGGGATGTGGGCATTGCTGGCTGGGCCAATAATTATTGTTTGTCCCTAGTTGCTCCTGAAGAGGTGGTGGTGAGGTGTTTTCTTGAACCGTTGCAGTCCATGTGCTGTAGATAGACCCATAATGCTGTTAGGGAGGGATGTTCTGATTTGCATCACCCAAGACCATATGCTATGCCATATTAAATCACTACAAGTATAGGGAAACTAGAAGAACCTTTCTCCCAAACTTAAATGTTTGCTTTTGTTTTAAATGAAAGAAACTTACTAATGCTCAGTTTGATGTGAATCCTGTTCCAATTAAGATCTCGCACCACTCTCAAGGGAAGACAGCGACTGCAGGGCTGGGAAGAAAGCAATGGAGGGAGCAGAGCATTCTGCCAGTGTGTCAGCCAAAACTGACAGCAACAATGCCATCCTGACTTGGAACTATGTCAGCATTACTTCATTGTCGCTGGGTAAAAATCTTGGAATTCCCTCCTTATAAACACTGGATATCGTACACCCACAAGGAGTGCTGCAGTTTGGAAAGGCAACTCATCACCACCTTATCAAGGGCAATTCATGATGGACTATAAATGCTGCTCTAGCTAGTAACACCCATATCCTCTGAAAGAATAAAAGTAAAGTCTCACTGATGTAAGGGAAATCACCTGTTTATTCCATATCACATTCATGTATGTATAGAACATGATGTGGAAATACTGGCATGCTGTAGATGAAGAGACATTTCTGAAAGGCAAGAGACTTTTGAATGCTTTTCTCTGAATTTTGCATTCAGTGAGCACCTGATTGTAGAATCTTGCGTGCAGAAGGTGTTTTGTGGGTTTGTGGGATAGCAATCTCAATTTATTGTACCATATCACAGTGTAGATCACAGTTGTGTAGATAAGAATATCAGGGAGAATTGTAATTCACAGCTTGATACGAATAACTGTATTTGAAGTTAATAAAATATGTGTCTGAAAACTTTAAAAATCAGCCAGCTGACTCCTGCCATAAACGTTCACTCTGGGATTGATTGTGCTCAATTCAAACAGGAATGAGTACAATGGCAGTGAGATGAAAAATGTTTGCGTGGCTTTTTTTTTCAGCCACTGTTGAATTATCAGGTGTCCATAGAAGTGGAAGTGGCTGTAACTTGTGTCATCACTC